AATTGTCTTGATCAAAATTTTATTAAGATCAATATCAAAGAGTCGGTCATATGAATTTTTACTGCAAAATAGTTCAGTTTCACAGGGTTCTACTGTTTTATTTCCATTATCGCTAACGGTAATTTGATCTTGAATAGGCTACGATTTTGAGAAACTTTAAGACTTCCTGATTCATTCAGTCCAGCTGGCCCAATCCTCTGTGAAATACATTATTTTTAGCTTTTCAGGTATATACTTTCTTACACATTATAGAAAGATTTCTCTCTTTTCTGGTATAGCAACAGCCTCGTAGTGTATACGTGTTTTAATTTTTGGTATAATTCTCAACACGTGACTTTTTCTCATTTCTACATTTGGCATCTTGTATAATAAAACCATGACTCAAACGAGGAAAACCTAGGCAATATCTAGGCAGTGGATATAAATGTGTTCTGAGGTAGATGCTATGTTACGGTCCCTAATAAGAATGTTTAGATTTTCGAGACATATTAATGTTTTATTATCTAATCTAGTTTAAACCTTATTTAACTCTTTTCTGCTGCCTCACTAATTTTTAGTAAATTTATTTTAGCAACATTTAAAATAACAATTTAGACTTGACTTTTAGTTCGTCCCCAATTCAAACCAAGCATAGAGATAGCCATCTTTACGTTTTCTCTATCAACTGCAGAGTTCGCGTCAAATTCGCCTATCTTTTTACTTAGATGAACTCGACAAGTATTGCACCCAGGCCCCCAGTTGTCAAGCTACGCTACTGTATTCTTAGTATATATACTTAGATTGAGACTATTTAGGTTTACGTAATGATATATTTACTGATTTTTTTGTTGTAGGCCCGAGTCTTTATTAGTTATGAATAAAAGAATAGTGTGTGGTAAAACTATACAGGGTGAGTCTTAAAAAAGTGTAAATATTTTCAGGGGTGGTATATTTCGACCCCAGGAACACGTCTATGAAGTTTTTTCGCACAAAAAGATGTTGAAAATCGTGCATTTTCTTTTAAATTTTCCTATATATTTTAGAAAACTTTTTAGAAGTTCCTGTTCGCAGCAAATTTTCCCACGGTATAGTTTCTTAATCTTTGGTCATAATCTTTGATATTACGGGACTAAAAGAGATGTAAATACAGAAAAATTTCGGTAGCTCTCAATGTTTTTAAAATAAATAATTTTTTTTTAATTTCCAATCTTTAATAACTCGGTTATTTTAGACTTATTTGAAACACGGGAGAGAGAATATATTATGTTTCTTTTATTGAGATCTACCAGCCCTGAAAATATTTGCACAATGCAGCACAAAAATAAGGTGCACTTATAGACTCACCTTAATAAAACAATTCAAACGGAACAACAAACAACAGACGTTTATTAAAATTATAAATGTTTCAGAGAAAGGCATATAACAATAGTTATTTTACAAATTGGTGTTTATATTTAAAAGCAACTGACGATTATATTGATGCAAATTGATTAGTTAGTTAGGCAGTCACTAAGAATCAAACGTAACTTTAGATAGAAGATTAGCCATTTAATTTTTGCTAAGCCAATCTCTTTTTGAGCTCTGATCGGAAACGGCCTACCGGCCCATCGGGAACTTTCCCGTTTTCCCATATGGCCCATCCACCCCTGGTCCTGTTAGTAGACCTACTACCATTTTTACTGTCATGTCTTTGCCTATCTGGTCTGCGGTGAATTTTGTTCAAAAGTTGCTACTATAAATTTTTTCCACCAAAGAAAAAAAACTCATGAAAGAAAACGCCTTGCGTGACCATCTTCTGATGCGTGTCAAATACTCCTCAGCGAGTAATAGCTGTAGTAGTAGCAGCAGTAGAATTTCTCCACCATTCTGGAGATTTGTTGGAAAGCTACCGTTTTGTCTGAATGTTGCTTTCATAATGCTGGGTTCTAGTTTCGTTTTTACTCTGAGTGGAGTACCACACTCGCGAAGAAGAAGCGGAGGAGTTGAAATAGAATCCAGAGCTCAAAACGAAAGCGTACCGCTGTCACTTTGTGGCGGCGCTCTATTTGCGGCGAATTTTTTACAGGTCTAGTCGGTACTAGACGTTGCGCAGTACTTATGGTGACAAGTACGAGCGCTTACGTGTCAAGTCTATTGTTTTTATCGGACGCGTGTAGGCATTCGTTATGAAACCCATTCATAAACTTCATTTGGGGTACGACCTTTTGTATATAGCAGTCGGTATTATTTCTTGATTGTAGAGCTTTGTTGAAGAAACTAAATTAAGTTGTTTGGTTTTGTAATAAAACTTTACTTTGTATGATATATGTTACAGTGAAAGTCGGAAATTCAGTCATTGTGAACATTCACTAGGAAATGCTAACAATTAGGCATTAGACCAGTGAATGTGGTATTTTAAAGAGATTTGTCGACTTTTCCCAGTAATTTCTAACATTCACTATAGTGAAAGTAATATTTACTAAAGGTTGCCAGTAAAAAGTGAAAGTTATTCTATTGTACAGGGTGGGTCAAATTCGTCGTTTTTAAATGGAAACACCCTTTTCTATAGGAGATAGACGAAAACTAATATCCGTGTCTGGAGCTCAATTTTCATCAAAAACCGTCATATTACCGTTTCAGAGTTACGGGGTGTTTTTCAAAAATGTGCATTTTTAACAAATTGCTGTAACTTTTTTGCTATGGAAAATTTTGTATTTCTATGAAAACATTTCCAAAGCACCTTTTTACGTAGAATTTTATGGTTTAAGTATAATTTTTTTAAAATTAAGAATTTAAGAGTTATCAACAGAAAAATTTATTTTTTATTTGGGACACCCTCTATATTTTTAATTAACTGAAAATAATTTAAAATTACCTTTCCAAAAATATAGCACACTTGATATTTTGTTATAATCCCCTTCGAAATACAGAATTTTTAAAAGTTTGCCACTTTTAACTAGTAGGCTTTGGACCCCTTATTGATGATATGCTCTTAATGGAACTCGGAAACATATTTTTCCAGCAAGACGAGGCAGCGCCTCTGAACGCTGAAGTTATCAGCAAATTTTTGCAGCCAATTTCAAGAATAATTGAATAGCTAACCAAGATCCCAGCCGTTGGCCGTCGCCTGACTTAGTGCCCCTGGATCTAATCCTATGGATATATTTGCGGAAGAATAATGGTTCCTTATTCTTCCGTATAATCTCAACAAGAATTAGAAATACTTAGCAGTTATGAGAGGGTATCTTTCACCTCTACTGAGTTAATGAATTCCACGAGAAATGTTCAAAAATTGTCCAGAACAGAAGACGGTTGATATGTCGAACACCTGTAGCAAAATCTCATGTCTTGGTTTGCTATTTATTTTTATTGTTATTACATATAGTTTAAATGTGTTGTGATGTTGGTTATATTTATTTTAAATTGTTATAAAATTCTGCATCTCTCATAGCAAATATTATTTTCGTTTTAATTGATGCTCACAGCTAGAATTTTTTTGCATTACAGCCGGTGCCGTTCCAAGCCTACTTATTTAAAGCGGGCGAATTTTTATATATTCTATATCTCGAAGAGGAATCGAGCAAAATATCAAGTGTGTCATATTTTTGGAAAGATAATTTTAAATTCTTTTCAATAAATTAAAAATATACAGGGTGTCCCATATAAAAAATATGTTTTCATAAAAATACAAGATTTTCCATAGCAAAAAAGTTACAGCGATTTGTTAAAAATGCATATTTTTGAAAAACACCCCGTAACTCCGAAACGGTAACAGATATTGATATGCGGTTTTCACCATCATGTTTTTGACAAAAATTGAGCTCCAGACACCGATATTAGTTTTTGTCTATCTCCTACTGAAAAGGGTTTTTCCTCGGGTTTTTCCATTTAAAAGCGTCGAATTTGACCCACCCTGTACAGGACGATACCACACTCGTCCGATACCACAGGAAGAATGTTGCTCGAAGTTAGCACGAATAAAACTTTTAAGAATATTGGATCACCTCAATATTCCAACTGATCCACATATCTCGAAATTACAGTTTACTTCTGTAGTGTATTTATTAAAAATTATAGAAAATAACGACATAACCTTCTAAAAATATTAAAACAGAAAACATAGTAAACATTTTGAAGTGTAGAAAACAATTAAAAAAATACTTTTATAGACATAAGATTACTTATTGGTACAAGATGTTTTTTAATAAAGTTCTTCACCGTGGATAAAATAAAGAATGCCCGAATTTTCTTCAACGGGAGTTATTCGTTTTTTCAAACCCGCTACTTTATGCACAGGGTTGCCAGACGTCCCGATTTAGGCGGGACTGTCCCGATTTTAATCGATGTGTCCCGATATGTCCCGCGGCCCGAGACTGTCCCGATTTGTCCCGCATCTCGTTCTCTGCTTTCAAATTCCCAAAATCTTCCTTCGCCACTATAGTAGGAGACAGGCGACAATGGCATCATGCGTAAACTCTGTTATCGCCTCGTGTCCGCCTCACCGTTTCAAGTATCGACGGTTAAAATACATGACATATCGATGCATCATTGCCATTCCTACTGATTCTTCTTTCTCTCTTCTTTTTCTTTCACGGGATTTAGTCGCTTGTCGCTTACGTTTTGTCGCAAGGTCTTTTGTCTTTTAATTTTAAAAAACCTTGTTGTAGTGTACTTCTGATCTGTGGTGTACTTGTACTTTGGTGTTTGGTGTACTTCACAGAAGGTAGAAGGTGTACTTGCTCCTTGCTCCGTGTCCGTGGTCCGTGCAGTGAGTGCTTTACCCGAGATCAAACGCGTTATGTTGAGTTAATTTGCTGCATATTCCGTACATTTTAATATTATATATAATTATATAATTATAGGTTAATTCTTTTTTTTGCAACAAAACGGATTCAGATTCCTCAGTGTCCTCTGATGAGATTGACTGGCTAGGGGTAAATTGTGGTGTTTTTGAAGATGAAGCTGATGTGGTCAATGTCGTCAATGACGGAAATTCCCGAGAATTTGACAACGGTGTTAACGATGTTAAAAAATCAAAAACTTTTCCTGGAAAATACAGCGGCGGCTGCGTGTTCCATTTTGCAAAAAAATAAAAGAAAAAGAGAGGTAGGTATATTAAACTATTTTCATATACAGAATAATCCACCAAAGATACGAGGTTTGTTAAATTAGAAAAAAGTTGCGCATTTTTGTGCTCAATAAAGTTACGTTTACAGAGTTGCCAAAATTTCATTTGTTTCAATATACAGGAAATATGTACAAAATGTGTAACATTTATTTTATTAAAAAAAATAACTCAAAAACTATTAATAATTATAGAATCATAAGTTTTGTGCACAAATTTTATATTTTTTCTTTTTCTACAAAATATGCTACTTGGAAAATTCACCAAATGTATAGCTGTTCAGATATCGATACCAACTTATTTTATTTTTTTTAATACGGACTTTTTAAAATATATTTTACAGACGTCTGGTAACAAAAATGGCCATCATCGGGGGTTTTCTTGAATACGGACCCGAGAATAATCGGTAATGGTGGTTATCGTCAGCATTTATTATAATTTCTTAGCAATCATGTTAACTTTATATTATCCCCTTTGTTGATAAAAAACCAACTACCTACCTATACTATCTTATTTTTAATAAAATATAAATAATGTTAATATGTTTATTATATTTTTCGTTTAGTACTTGTGTATTTTCATTTTAAAACATTTTTTATACCACAATCCCTCAATAAATTATTATTTAAGATATTAAAATAAACATTTTTGGGCATGGCACCCAAACATTTTCACCTCCGGCGGTCATTCAGTGCGTCCCGCTTTTTCTTCTTCTAAATATGGCAACCCTGTTTATGCATATCAACACGTTTAATAAGTTCATAGTCACTAGGTTCCTTAATATATTTTTCTCTTGCATAATTAACTTTTGCTACGATTTCATTACCTAAATTGCAAAAAAATTAAAAACAAGCATTATTACATTCTTGCGAGTGCTTAGTTTGGCTTAATTTTTCACAGAAATTTTCTTCCATAGGGAAAATACCGCACAGCACGATAACAAAACAATTATACATATCCCATAGACATAACCACAAAAAAAACATAGACATAACCACAAACAAACAATGCGAATTTACGCCAAATGCCCGTCAATGTTGCCAACGTTTAGCCAAATTTAATGTTATCATTATATTGCCTATAATTCAACTCGTCCTTATTTATCCTTATATTTCACAACATGTGGAAACCGCGCTAACTGAATATTTCAAACTCACCGCTATTGTCCAGGGAATGCTAACATTCACTAGTAAAAGTTGGTTTCAAATAGGGAATGCAATCCCGCAAATGCGGGATCCCTCTGAGATTCCGCGGGAATAAAGTTGCGGGATTTACCGTGCGGGATCTGCGGGATCGACACCGAATCGATCTCAATCAAGATCAAACCGCTTCGTTCCGGGCCGATGCGTCAACACTCGGAACCCGGGAGATTCCCCTTACGGCTTGGCCATTAAAAATAAGTGAAACAAACAGGTTAATTGTTAGATTTCTTTCTGGCGTATGTGAAGTGAAGTAAAGCGTTTAACTAGTACTTGTGGACAATTTCGTCAAATAAACCGCCGGACATAATTATCGGGACAAGCAAAATTTTAGGGTAAATTTAAAGTTGAATATCTCGTGAACTAAAAAAGATTTTTGGATGCGGTTTGGACCAGGTTTTAGATGCTTCTCTTGTGATTAAGATGCTATGTGGTTTTCGAAAATATAATTAGTGAATTCTCGTATACAGGGTGTTTTATAAGAGTATGAAAATTTGGTCAAGAATCTTTTTTACCGCAAATTTACAATCTTTAAAAAATCGAAATTTTTACCAAGTACGACTAATCTGTATTGAAATTAGAAAAAACAATTTGATCGGGTTTTTAATTTTTTTTTGTTTTAAGGAAAATACGACGTTTTTTTCGAAAAATATGCATTTTTAGTCATATGTATGGTCCTAAATGGTACAAAAAGAAGTTAAGTTAAAAAAAAACTTCAACATCAGAATAATATTTTTATTTATAAAATAAGTAGATAAATTATAATAAAATTTAAGTTTATTTAATATTAAATATATTTTTTGCACACTCTGTATACATCGGTCCAAATTTCTGTACAGCTAGTTTAAGATACACGCTATATCAATATATTATGGGCCTATGCAAAATGTACAATGCCTTTTGTACCATTTAGGACCAAATGTATGACTATTGTTTACAGTCCCGCAATTTTGTGGATCCGCGGGATTGATTGCTTTAATCCCGCGGGTTTGCGGGATTGAGATCGGGATTAAGCGGGTTGTGCGGGATTGCATACCCTAGTTTCAAAAATAGCTGTTGAATTTTTACTGGCGTAGTCTTAGCAAATCAGTGAATGTGAGCTTTCACTAGTAATTGTTAACAATCACTGATTTCCAACTTTTACTGTAACAAACTGCGAAAAAAAAAATAATAGTCGTGTCTATGGGGTCGAAATATAATAATAATAATAGCTCCCGTATATAGGTTTAACGCCTTGGGAGTAGCTAGGTACAGCTTGCCATACTAGAGCCGTTCGGTATACAAGGAAGGTAATGTGGCTAGCACTACCTTTCAACCGCCTATTATTACCTCAGGATTGTGAATCGCAAGTACTCATTTAAGGCTGAGTCGACCTAGGTACCCAAACTATTTTTATTTTAATAAAAATAGTCGGCTGATGCAATGCCGGGTGTGGGATTCGAACCCACTACCTTCAGATTGGTAGACAAGAGCCTGTACCTCTACGCCACCTGGTCGAAAAATACTACCTCTAAAAATATTTGCAATTATTTAAGACTCACCCTGTATAATTCATTTGACAAATCCTCAACGGTTTTTAATAGACGCATCTGCTAAAAAATAAAGTGTTATCAGAATAGGTAGTTATATTTATTCATTTTTATATTTCAAAAATTACATTTTAGAAGATGATGTTTCGTAATTTGTTTAGGGGGAGCACTGCTACCCTTGCTTCCATGGACTGCACGCTGCTGTTTGTAGGCTGTAGGTATTGTTTTCCTATCCTTTTTTTTAAACGCCTCGCATGTATCGATTTGTAAGTTGTATATACTGCGTGTTGTTATCAATGTGTGTATACCGGCTAACTCCCTTTGGTTTTTTTGATAGTCTTGTCAAATTCATTCGGTTTCAGTTAGTGGTGATTAAATTTATGTAAGTATAAGCTAGTTTCTGTATATTTATAAATAAACAAAAAACATGGCATTTTATGATTCTATTTGTTTAGTGTTTATTGATTTTATTTTATTTATTAAATTAAATTTTTTATACCATGTTGTTTTAATTAAAAAGATTACCTAAAACGGCTCTAGCCAAAAAAGCCAAAGACTAGGTCGCTACAATATCACTTAAACATGCGCACTGTCTTTAAGCACAGTTTAAAGAAATTTCTTAAACTGTGCTTTAAGGGAGATTAATAAACAGACACCCAAACAAGAAGAATTCAAATCCTCATCGGCCTAAACCAGAAAGAATTCACGTTACGCGGTGTCGTGCTTTATTCAAATTCGTTCGGTTTCTGTTTCGAGTAACGTTTAAGAGAACATGACAGGCGATCAAGGGGGGCACGGGGGGCGTTTCAAAAAAGCGCCGGCCGGTGGCCTGTCCGTGAAGTCCGACTGTCACTTCGCCGCTCTCGCATGGCCGCACCACAAAACGACGCCCAAACTACCATTGGGGAATTCATTAAGGACCTCCGTCGTCCTCAGGATGAATGACAGCGGCGCGAGAAGAGATTAGCGTTTAAGAGTACCACGCTTCGAATTAAGAGGCATTAAAAAGAATATACAGGGTAAAAAAATACCTATACCTATGTGGCGGATTCATCTCTCCAAAAAAAATCCTATATGTACAGGATGGCGCCTCTCATACGCCGCGGAAGCTCCAAGGAGAACGACAGTTTGTATTGAAATGAAATTTTGTGAGCATATGTAGGTTAATTCAGAGCATTTTTGAAAAATATAGACTTCTATAGGGTGTCCTCAAAAAAAGTTACATATCAAAGTTTATGTTTTTGAAATGGAACACCCTATATATTAATTGATTTTCGGATTCTGGGAGAAAAATAAAGGTTAGTTTTATAAGAGAAGTATATGACTAAAATGTAAGGATTTTGTCATATTTAACATTTACTAGAAATAAAGATCAATTTTTGAATTACAATAAAAGCTACCTAAATTGGAATTTACCCAGTATAGCCTAATATGTAGTTAAATTAACTATTGTGCTTTAAATCAAATTAAAACTTGATCCGAAAAGTTATACAGGGTGAGACAAAATTAATATTGAACATTGGTCACCTTTAAAAGCAAGTTACTCTTTTATTTTAAATGGAACACCCAGTATATTATTCCGATATTTAATGGAAAATTCATGTCTGTTCAAAATACTATTAAGGTTGCTTACTCCTCAAACAAAGATTTTTATAGATATTTTTATTTATATGATTTGATCTGAGTAGATCTGTATTATTTGATAAAATCTAGGTAGCTGTGATATGTCTGACGTTACTTCAACATAGCTGTCTAATTAGTCCACCTTTAACAACTAGTTATCATTTTGTGTCAGTTAAAACACACAAAAACATTTCTCAAACAAACAAAGAAATTTGCCGAAAATGTAAACTTATCCTACATCAGAAGGAATTGATATGATTCTATTAGTTGGTGAATGCAGTATGCATTCACCAATTAATAGAATAGTTAAATGCTCCTGATTTTATCTAGTGTTTTTTATGGGGATATGTTAAAGATAATGTTTACAAAACTCGACCAACTATTGTCGACAACGTGAGAGAAATTATTGTAGCTACTTTTCGAGGTAGAACTCACATATGCCTTTTAAAACGAAACGATCCTTTTGAAAAGGCAATCATTTTATGCAGTTAACAGGAAAGGAAGCATTCTGAGCATTTGATTTCATTTAGCTAATTTTTGTCACATAATTATAGGTTTATATCTAGTTGCTATGTTCTGTAATTACAGCTATCTTCTGTAATAATTAAATTATTATGTTTTAAACAACGGACAAAAGAGTGCCCCGTCGTGGGAAGCAAAAAAAAAACAAAAAAAAACAAAGAAAAAAGCTCTTTAAAATATCTAAATGCAACTCTTCCAGAATTGTTAAAATAATGTCATGATAATGTCATTTTCAGAAAACGTCAACGATTTTTAAAGACGTATCTGTTTGAAAAAAAACTAAAGTGTTCACGAATAGTTGCACACTAATCACCAAAGATTAACTTTTATTTGTATCAGTTTTATACTAATATTTCAAGAGAGAATAGAACAGTTTTTTATAGTATTTTTACCTGAGAAGGGAATGAAACTATCGTTTGACGTTTAGCAGCTGTTAAAAAGGTACGGATACGTCCCTCAATCTAATCGGGTTCTAACTGACACGTTGACATAAATATAACAAAAAAAAACAGTAAAATGTCATCAAAAATACACTCTGTATGGTAATTATGATTTTAATCTGATGAGTAAACATGAGCTCCTTAACTATAGTTCATATCAAATAAACTTTTAGTC